GAAGCATTATGTGGACTTGTGAGATTGGTTAATTCAAATGGGAAGGAATGTTTCACTAAAAAGGGCCAACAAATTCTGGGAAGCCAAAAAGCTTTGGGGCAAATGGAAGGTCAAACCTGTAGAAAGCAAGAAAAGGCTAAGACAAATGGCAGATCTTTTGCACAGGTGGTGTCAGGGGAAATAGACAAAAATATACCAGTGATTAAAGGGAGAGGGCTGAACCAGCAACCTCAGACTGATACAAAAGAGAGGATTGCTGGTTCGACCATTAAAACAGGGGGCCGTGACTTGTTAAGATGTCACGTGGGAGGAAAAGACTTAGAAAATGGGCCCAATCGAGTGGATCCCTTTTCTGGTGGGCCGGAGAAGGCAACTCAAGTAAAGGTTTTAAAGCTGGGTTCTTATGTTACAAGTTTTGAGCCCAAGGCCCATTACAAGACAGATGGGCCAAGGGACCCTTTAAGTAAGCATGTGACTGGGAGGAGGGATGAGCTGATAGACGAGATTAAGCGTCTATCTTCTTCTACCTCGAATCCCTCCTTCCGGTTGAACAGTTCAGGCGCAAAATCTCAAGACTCTCAGTCTCGAGGCTCTCTACAGTGGGTCCCATCCAACCTGGCGAACCGTCTCTCACCAGATAGGTGCAACCTGAAATACCTGAAGCCTAGTGATTTGAACAGAATAGGGTTTGAAGATTGGTTGAGTGAACAAACAGCAGTGACGATTCTGATAGAGACGAAACTGCAAGTCTGGGAAGTCTGTCTCCGAAAAGCAACAATGATTTACTTGAAATAGAAAGTTTGCATACAAAGTTGTTGTTTTTAGAGGAAGAGATTGAAGAGGAAGGTGGCAGGAAAACTAGAAATGGCGAAGAAAATGGTCCTAAAGCTGTGAAAACTCCTCTTCCCTTCGTCGAGGGAGCTGACCCTGAGTCTAATGTATTACAGGATCTTGGTGGAGAGGGACAAGAATCGGCCGTGATGATGGATGTGGGTATTCCAGTGTTGTAAACACAGAGAAAGGATTTCCAAGTGGGTAGGTCGTCAGGAAGTGATTCTTTCACTATGTCTACTTCACAACTTTGTCCAAAAAGGGGAAAGGCCTTAAAACCATTTGTCGCCTGTCAGCAATTCAATTCCAGTAATTCTAGTCCTGCCCCCGTCCTACCAGGTATGGRTGTCAATTCTTTTTTAGGTACTGACTTGTGTGTTATGCCTGTAACAGATATTCCAGCTTCCCATCCAAAAGGTTCTGATGCAAGAGAGAGGGCGATGGAAGGAAGTAGTAAGGGGGAGGTGGACAGAATTTGGAAGTTGATCTGTATAATGATGGAGAACTAAAAAAAAGGAAGGATTCTTAGAGAGATGTTGTAGCCAAAATAAGTGTGAACAGGGTAAAATTCTTCTTCAGACATTGGCTGGAAAGGATGGAGAAAAGAAAGAGGATGATTGTTGTATTAGGAAGGGGGGGGGGAACAAAGAAGAAAAAAATAGCTGAAGTGGAAAGGCTAATCTCAGACATTGAGGGAGATTTAGAATTTAGAGGTAGAGGGGATAGGAGGAAGGGCCTAAAATGAGGAGATTATGGCCTTTTCATGGGTGTTTTTGCTATTGTCTCGATGAAAATTATTAGCTGGAATGTAAGAGGGTTAGGGAGTGCAAGAAAGAGAAGGGTGATCAAAGACCTACTYYRAAGGGAAAAACCCGATATTGTGCTGTTACAAGAATCCAAAATGATGGAATTAGATGGGAGATGGGTGAGGAGTTTTTAGAGGTCTAGAGGTTTAGGTTGGAGTTCGTCTCCTTCTTGGGGAGCCTCGGGGGGGATCGTAACACTGTGGAGGGAGGTTGTGGTGGAAGTAGTGGAAGTAGTGGAAGAATTGACAGGCAGATTCTCAGTTTCCATTAAGTGTAAGAATGTAGAGGATGGGTGTGTATGTTTAACCAATGTTTACGGCCCTAATTCCTATAGAGAGAGAAATGAGATGTGGGAGGAACTATATGCAATCAAGGGGCTATGGKATGRCCCTTGGTGCCTGGGCRRGGATTTTAATGTCATTAGATTCTCTGATGAAACCAGTAATCCCCAACAGGTAATTACAACAATCATGAGAAAATTTAATGGTTTTATTGAAGAATGTGAATTGAAGGAAATACCTCTATCGCAAGCTAGTTACACTTGGTCCAACCTTTAGGAAACCCCTTTGTGTTCGAAGTTGGACAGGTTCTTATTTAACCTAGCCTGGGAGAATAGTTTGGAAAACTTGGTTGCTAGAGCGTTTACCTAGGGTCACCTCTGATCACTGTCCTATCCGGATAGGTACTGAGTTTTTTCCTACAGGACCCAAACCTTTTAGATTCGAAAATATATGGCTTACTCATCCAGATTTTGTGAAAAAAGTGAAGGAATGGTGGGGTGAGTAAGAGAGGGGGGTAAGATGGAAGGGGATCAAGTTTCGTAAGAAATTAAAAAGGTTGAGAGCCAAAATAAAAGAGTGGAATAGAGATCATTTTGGTAGATTTGAGGAGCAAAAATTGTGCCTAATCTCTCGAATAGAAAACTTGGATGTAAAGGAATCTCAAAATGGGTTGACCGAGGGGGATAGAGTGTTAAGGAGACAATCGAAAAAGGATTTGGAAGAGGTGTTACTAAGGGAAGAAATCAGTTGGAGATAAAAATCTAGACACAAGTGGATTAAGAAAGGCGATGGGAACACTAGATTTTTCCATGATTTGGCAAATGGGAGACGAAGAAAGAATCTTGTGACCAAGCTAGAGATAGGAGAGGAGGCGATTACCAACCAGGATGACATAGCCAGAAAATTTGAGGAAATTCAAATCGATTTATAGAAGACCTTTGAGTGAAAGAGCAGTCGTGGAAGGGGTGAAATGGCCAAGAATTGATGACGGAATGGCAAGGTGGCTGGAAAGGGATTTCAAGGAAGAAGAGATTAAGAAAGTTGCCTTTCTAATGGATAGATCCAAGGTTCCAGGTCCAGATGGCTTTACAATGGGTTTTTATCAAGACTGTTGGGAGGTGTTGAAAGAGGATTTAGTTGAAGTCTTTAAGGAATTTGCAGACAATCACATTATAAGCCCTGGAATCA